TCTTTATGAGCTTACAGACCAGGCAGCAATTTCTCAAAGAACTTGATCAAAATCATGTTCACAGACTGAAAAGAAAAAAATAACTTTAGCAAACAGAAACAGAGATGCACTTTTATTACGCAAAATGTCTTAAGCTCTAATTCTCAAAAAAATAGTAGTATAGACCAGTACTGTCCAATAGAACTTTCTGTGCTGATGAAATGTTTTAAATCTGAATTGTCCAATACGGACTTACTAGCTACATGTGACTAGTATGCACTTAAAATGTGGATGGTGAAACTGGGGAATTGAATTTTTAATTGGATTCAATTAATTTTAATTTTAAGAGTTATGTATGACTAATGGTCACCATACTGAACAGGGTGACAGTGGACCATATACACATGTTTAAATAGAACATTAAATTTCAAGTATAATATTTACATTAACCTACTTTTTACTTCTTCTTTGCCTTCTGAAAGGCCTTAGAATTTTAGATATTATTCAGTGATACATTTTCAAATTTAAGCATTTCACTTTAATTGATTTTGCCCATAAAAAAATTGTAATTTTGGATTCAGTGGTAGGACACATCCATTAGAATTACTTAGCAACTAAAATAAAAGAACATGTTGACAAACTATGGAAGAAACAAATAGTCTTGGAAAAACATGACTTTTTTTTTCTTAACATTTTATACACCCCAATTAAAGCTCTTTCAGAAGAACTGAGCCTCACCTGTTATTTTCAAAGTTATCAGGGTCTTTTCATTCATTTAAGGACGGATCGCTCTACAAATCCTTCAGGAAATTGTGTCATCTTACCTTGTGTTCCTCAAAATGGAAAACACTTCAAACTTATTCATTTTACAGATTAAATTGCTTCTCTTTACCACACAGCTTCATTAGGTGCTTCTGTTGTCAAGTACACACTAGCTCACTCGAGGCTGAACAAAAGAAGAAATAGAAATCATGACATTTTCCCCATAAAGTATCCTCTCACAAAACTCTTCTAAGATAGATAGCATTATGCAAAGTGATATTTTATTGCTTTAATACATACATTTCTAACATACCCTATTTGATTGATCTTGATTTTTCAAAAGAAGCAAAAATTTAAGAATTTTCTGGATATTATAAATCACTGATTAATTTTGACATGTTTGAGAATTTTTTTTAGAATTTCTATGAACACAAAAGAATAATGAGAGGAAAATATGAGAGGTTCAGATTAGCACCTCATGGTCACCTAAATTTTATGTTGCCTTTTCCAATGCTGAATTATATTATTTTTTAATAGAACTATAGGGAGAATTTTTTTTTTTTTTTTTTTTTTTTTTTAAGAAATGAGGCAGCTATGGAGAATGCATTAATCTCTCTCCATCTCCTCTACCACTGCTCTAAGTCCAAACCACCATCATCTGCTGCCTAGATTATTACAATAGCCACCTAACTGATCTGGTCCAAACCACCTTAGTCCAAACTGTCACTTGCCTGATCATTACTAATACTAAGTAGCCTCCTAACTAGCATGTTTCCACTCTAGCTCTCCTTACCCCAGTTGATTTTCCCACATTTAGGGGGAATTTTTTTTTTTTTTTTTTTTTTTTTTGGCCACACTACACGGCACGCAGGATCTTAGTTACCTGACCAGGGATCGAACCTGTGCCCTCTGCAGTGGAAGTGCAGAGTCTTAACAACTGGACCGCCAGGGACGTCCCAAGAATTTTTAAATGTTTGAGGCAAAAGCATCTTCTACTTGTAGATGCTTTATTTCACAACTCCAGCTAGCTAATTCTGGTAATGTATTGCATTTTCGTGTGGGAAGCTTATAACTTCTATAACAGTGCACTTTTTCTCTCAAGAGTCTCTTTTCTCCTGAGTCTTTATGCTAGGAATGAACTTGTAGTTGTGCAATACATGCTATTTACATTAAAGAGTACTTAGTAAATGGTGCTGTGTGCTGGGCTCAGTGGGAACTAGTAAAGAAAATAAGAAATAATCATTTGGGACCAGTCATTAAGCATTGACAACACATAAATAAGGAAATGTTAGCTAATCATTTACTTGACAATCCAGACAAAATATTAAAATATTTATATAAAGAATCAGACAATTGAGGAAATTACTCATACATTCTCTGTGTGAATGTTAATTTTCAAGACAGACAAGTAAACTAGATCATGGCTAATCATGCCACAGGGTACTCATTAAACTGTTTTCATTTGAGCTAGAGTGGATATTGATTGGAGAGGATTCCTGGTGTTTCCATACAATCACTCTGTCCCTCCTGCTGATACTGTTTAAAATGTCTGAAAACATGCAATTCAGTAGTTACACTTTGAATCATATCACCTTAAGATTTTGATTACTGAATTTTATTCTCTATGTGTTAGCTGCTCAGAGATTTATTTCATTTCATTTTTTAAAAACTTTTAAAAGCCCCTAATGGTTATTATAGTTGATCTTGGTTATGTAAAGATGTAATAAAACAGTTGAAGCTGTATCACCACAGCTAAGGTACTGAATGTTTGCTTCACCATCATTTTGGCTAACTTTCTAAAGAAGACACATGAGCTAAATACATTTCTGGAATCAAATGAAAGCTTCTAGTATGGGCAGGAGCTACCAGTAAATACATTCCTAATTACTTGTTTTTGACAGGGAGATGGATGATACACAACAGAAATGACCATTTGGAAGCTGTCATTAATTGGCAGGTCATCAAACGAAACACGTTCTCATTAATTTTGGTTTTATTAAATTCATCTCCTCCCAATAGTTGGGAGTTATCTGAGCAGGTGATAGAACTAGCATGGCAAAAATGTCACTGCTTCCCTTTACCCCATTTGCATGATCAATAATTAAACTCCCAGAGGCTTCACAGTCATGTCCATAGTTTGAACTTTTCAAAGTGTAGTATGAAGTTAAAAGAAAACTGGTATTTTAAGCACCTACTAATATGATACTGTGCGAACTTTAGTATGAAGAGCTTTAGTAAGACTCAGAAGCCCCCATCACAGTGATCTCACGGCAAGTCTATATTATTTATTCATTTCCAAAACCTAAATTGTTTAGCAAGATGCATAGGAAAGCGCGTGTCCCCTTTAGACAAAGGCAGAAACTGAGTAATCGTTTCAAATGCCTTAAAAGTTAAAAAAAGAAAAAGGAAAAAAGAAAAGACATTATTCATGTACCTCAAGAAACCTTACTAAAATATCATGAAATTTCTCTAATGTTGGATAAAGTTTGCACTTTGAAAATTATATATGCATCTTTCGCTTATACCAAAAAGATGTGAATCGGATTAACATTTGTAATCAAGTGTTTCCCCATCTGAGAAACCTGAAGATATATTCAGTGAAGCATTCCTAGCATTCTAGAAGCATTCCTTGCCTCCAAAGAGTTCCTTTTGGACCCCTCCCCCTCTTCCTCTTCTGCAGTAGAATTTCATTGTGAATAATCAGAAATGGGTGAAAGAATATGAGTGGAGAGAAACAGAAATATGTGTAGGTTGTGAGTAAATGTTTGACTTTCCTCCTGGATGTGTAGGTATCTACATTTCCTGAACACTGTTAACTAAAAGAGAGCTTGCTGTCTTCTGGGCACCACACTCCTGTTTTATGTCCTAGAGGAGATCATTGTTGGTCTGTTTCCTTTAATCAGAATTTAACCTTCCCTAATATAAGAGGGGAAACAAATTCCTAGAAGCCTGATTTCAGGGCCTAGATCTATAGAAATTAGATCAGTACATGCAGCATGTAACTAGTATGATCTATGGTTGCCATACTGATGTTAGACAAAAATTATATCTGACATTTATTGAACATACAATGTGAAAGGGATTATTCTTAGCAACTTTCATTTACTATCTCATTTTAATTCCCAAAACAGACCTGTGATAGAGGTACTATTATCTCTATTTTATAGGCGAGGAAAGCGAAGCACAGAAAGGCTAACAAAAGAGCCAAAGTTCGTGCAGATACCAAGTAGCAAGCCTGGGACTTGAACCAGACTTTTCAAATGCATGCATTATTAACCACTATGACATATGACTTCCCCAAGTTGGATACTGTGATATTTTAAAAATAATTTATAGCTTCCCAAATAATTCCTGGTAGATATAATAGTATTCAGGAAATGCATTCCTGTCGTTATAAGCATTCCAAGAGCTAAGTAAAATACCGATAATATCAATTTTCCATTTACATTTACCTAACTCAAGCAAGCTAATATAGTATAAGGCTCAGGTCTTTTTTTAAAAGTAGATTTTAAGTATATATCATCAATGTCTTTTTTTGTTATAAAATACATTTGCTTGTATTTATCTGATTTTTACTTATTAAATTTCTTGTCAAAGTCTCTAACCTATTCCTCAGGAACACCACTGGATTTGCTGATGAATTATTATAAATTCCTGCATGCAATATAAGTGCTAATTATTAACATTCCTTGGATATGACACTGTACATTTAATAGCAATACTGACTTTTTAATGATTTAATTTCTGTCTTCAAGTTTATTAAAGAAACTTATTCTAAACCTTTAAAGCAATCAGACTCTTATTCTAGCTAAACCAGCTTTACTTAGACTGAAAATTTTTTAGTTGCTACCCATTCCTAAAGGACTCACTTTAGTTTTAACTTCAGAGAAGTGGGGTCATCTTACCTTCTTGATTTCATATGTCAAAATCTTTGAAAATTTATAAATCTATGAAGAAAATATCTTAAGTATACTCTGAATGACAGTGGGTTTGAGCCCTGCTAATGAAATGAGAAATTTGAGACCCTAATCAACATTTTCAGCTTCCTTGATGAAAATGCTGCTGGGTACAAGAGTTTCAGATTTTGATAATCAACCTTTGTATAGGGTTTGATTATTTTAAATTTTTATTTTAAAACCCCATCAGGTGAACCGCTTATAATTCTACACTCATTATTAAAATGCAGTTGTTTTATAAGTGAAGAAATGTTGAAAGTGGGTTTTTTTCTACTCTCCATATGCTGTTTTCTGTTTTTACAGATGTTCGAAGAAGAACAATTTATGAATACCACCGAGTAGAACTACAGATGTCAAAAATCACCAATATTTCAGCTGTGGAGATGACCCCATTGCCTAGTAAGTTAACATGCAAACATAGCTATAGGTGGGAAAAATGACTTGCAGTTTGTATGATCTGATCTTTTTATGCATGGGTCTTTTGATCCTGCGTGTATATGGGGATGCGCGGGTGATGTTAATTTTGGCAGAGCAGTCTTTTTTTTTCTCTCTGTCCCTCCATGCTGCCAATTAGTCTTGATGCAACCGTTCTCTCCTGTTTCCTAGCATGTCTCCAGTTTAATGGTTGTGGCCCCTGTGTATCCTCTCAGATTGGCTTCAACTGCAGTTGGTGTAGTAAGCTTCAAAGGTAAAAGACAGTAATGCAAAATATTTTAAAACTTTATGAAGACTTGTTGTACTCTTCCATTGAATTTTGAATGTGTCAGGTGTGTTGACTGGATATACACGAACAAATGCACATGTGTTAAACGAAACACGAAAATGCAAAAAATGCTCAGACATGGGAATTGTAGTATTTTCCTTTGATTGCTCAAAGTTGCTCAAAGTGACCATGAACCTTTGTAGTCCATAAGATAATTATCTGACGTATATTTATAATTGCTATGGGGCTTAAGATAGATGATGATTGTGAATAGATAGATGATGATGATGAATCTATAAATTGCCGCTGTTGGTCCACATTCTTCAGAAGTCCTGGTATGACATATCTTCACAATAACAAGGATGGTTTATGCATAATCACATTAACATTCTTAGCAAATTCCTATAAATATCTCAAAGGTTACTAACCAAGATTAGAGGTGTAGTCTGAGGCTGAGGAATACAGTGACACTAACAGGACTCTACATAAATAGAACGTGCGGTTTGGGCCTGGGGTGTAAATAACTGACTTTGAAACTTAAGCTGAATCACTTGGTTGTGTCAAAGAGGTTTACTGATTTTCATGAATGGCAAAGAGGATTTTTCAGTCCGTAGAGTTTTTCGGAGACTGAATGCTCATTTGTTGGAAATGCAGAGTGAAGACGTTTAAATGTGTTTTATTTACTCAACCATTTTGTGTAGCAGTTATGTCCCGAGCGCTGGGAAAGCAGCAGTGATTAATATAGATGTGGTCCCTGCCCACCATGGAGCTTCCAGCCTGTCCGGGAATAAGTCCCCTCTCACCTGCAGAGTCTATGAAAAATCTGCTTCTTCCTCCAGGAGAACTGAGTCTTCAGTTTTGTGCACGTTCCAGCAGAGCTTTCTGTTGTATGAGAAGCCGGTGTCTTATCATCTTGCTGCAGCCTTTGCTGTAAAGATAGGGACATGTTCAGGACTACTTTAAAAGTTATTGAAGTATAAAGAATAGAATGCCAATTCCCTGATAACAAGCTATGGGAAACACGTGTGACTTGCTAACTTTGGGACAACCACTACAGTATTTCAGATAGAGCAATATTATTGACTATAACCGCTGTTTTATTTTCAATTTAACATGTCGTTCCAGTAATTTCCTTTGTGCAACAAATTTCAAATAATGAAAAAGCAAGCAGGCGATCACCATTCTTAAAAGTAGATTTTTAACTTGGCTATATCTCCAGAGTGGGAAGAACTGCTATAAAATTAAGGATTTGTAGTCATTTATATTCAAATACTGCTGACATGCCACAAATTACAAGCATATCAGAAACTAGTCAAAATCTGTTTAGATAATGACCAAAATGAATCTAAAGAGATGGCATTTTAATAGGTATATTTTAGTAACACTGATCTGAGACATGAAAAACGCCCAGAAGAATTAAGTAAAGGGTCCTGGTTTGGGGTACGTATCTAATTGAAGTTCCAGTTCAGTGGTCAACTCCTCTGAGAACATTCCCTAAACCATGAGTCTGTGTGAGGCGCCCAGCCCCTGTGGTTCTCGGCATCCTGCGCCAACCTCCATAATTAGCATCTAGCTCAAGGCTTACGGACATTTGTCACTTGTCTGTCTCCTCTGCTAGGCTCTGGGTTTATTAAAGGTGAATTGTCCTTACATCTCCACAGCCTAAGAATGTACCTGATACTGCAGAAAAATGAACGGGTGAATGAATGATGGCTAGGTTCCAAAGGAAGGAATCATGATTTGACTTGTCTGGGAATGAAGGGTCTCCTAGGATGAGGGACTTTCAGAGCTGAAACGAGGAAAGTTGAGGGAAAACCAGGATGAGTTAGCTACCCCAGCTAGAGTACTATTCAGACAATCTCGACTGAAACAATGTCATTATAAATGAAGGTTTGGGACACTAGTCTAGAAACCTACCTTCCACTAACCATTTCATTATTTTTTAAAAATATTTTTGGTGGAAATATATGTTTAAAGCTCCAGACAAGCAATTCTGACAATTGAAACACGTCTACAAGTTGCAAACTGCTTTATACTGTGAATGCTCCCATTTTATCGAGAGTTTTCTCTGCCAGACATTGTTCCAGGAATTTTCAAAAATATTTAATTCACATAACATTTTTATAGAGGAGGAAACTGAGGCTTCAGTTATTTGTGCAGGGTTTCAGAGCTCTTAAGTGATAAGTTTGGAATTGAAACTCGATCTGTGTGCTTCCTGGCCTGCCTTTTCGATGCCTCACACCCACCAGGCTGCAGGTGCATTAAGCAACTTAATCTTAACTGCTTCCTGAAAAACAGTAGACATACTACTGAAAAAATAAATATTTCTATAATTGTGGGTGCAAGAAAATTGCATGGTTTTGAAATTGGCATAAAAATCATGTGGAAGAGAATCAAGCAAAGCATAAGACTTTTGTATATTACTGAAAGCATAGGTTGTTTTTTTTTAAGATTAGTGGAAAAAAGAAAGGTGGTGATGCATATGAATGAGGACGGAATTTATCAAAGAACACTATGAAGAAAAACTTGGAATTTTCTGCCTGTTACCATTTGGTGTTTTGTTGCATACCAAACACTGGTTTAAAATCTTGGATTTATTTTTAATTCTTCAGCAACCCAGTTATATACAGATCAAAACCTGATTAATTAATTGGTTTAACTATGGCTCGTTGCACTTTTGTTCAACTTAATTTCCCCACTGCATTTTATTAATTTCTCCTTAGGCCTATGAGCATCAAAACTTTGCTTTTGCTGCCCAGAAGCATTTCCCCAGACTTTAGAGCTTTTATCGACAAATTCAATAAAACAAGAGACGTCTTATCCTAAGCAGTGCAAAAATTGCCTCTCAGATTGTTTTCTTCCATCCTTCTTACCTTCTCCTTTGTGCTTTCTTATCCCTGAATGATAATCAGTTGGTGGTGATTATTGAATTCTCAAGCTGGGCTTCCTCTAGAAAGATAAGATAATTTTAATTGGTTTGTTTATTTCCTTTAATTCTCAGTTTTCAGCAAGCCAAAACTAAGGCAAAATATTTGTAATGGCTTATCCAAGGTCTAAAGGAATTTGAGTTATAGGAACATGTAATGAGATCCATGATCAAGAATGTCTTCTTGGGACAGGTGGCCATTACTTCTAGGTAAGAGTGCTTTTGTTTCTTCACTGAAAGCTGAGAGGACCTGAATCAACCACACCTTTTATCTTCAATCATTCAACAAAATTTTTTTAGTATCTCTGTGTTCAAGTTACCATCCTGGATTGTGAATTCGGTGGTGAAGGAAAGAGAGAAAATCACTTCCCTCATAGAGCTTACATGTTTAGTATGGGGGGATAGAGTTTAAGCAAATAGATATGCAGGAAATAAAGTTAGCGGTGGTGAGTGCTACGGCAAAAGAAATAAATTGAACATTATAAGGGAAAATATAGCAAAATCGATAGGAATAACAGGAGTTTACTTGTTGGTTTCATGCTAGACAACCTTGTCTTTTTGAAGAGACCTTGGTTTCATCAGCCATCACCCTCCAAAAGTTTATTTTTTAATTGAAAATATATTTTGGCTCTTAAAACATTCCTTCACTCATTCATTTACTTAAAAATTTATTGAATACTTTCCACATTTATCTGAACAGCGAGCACTAGTCTAAGCACAGAAGTAGTTAGAACGATAACCAGGCATTAATCAAAGCCAGAGTTCTCATGGAGCTGAGTTTAGCATATTAAGCTGGAAAATAAATGAATTGATAATTAAACAAAAAAGACAGTTGATGATGAATGATCTGTTGAGTTTGGAGAGCCAGTAGTTGCTCTGATCTGAGTGGCCAGGAAAGGCTTCTTGGGAAAAGGGACGGTTAAACTTAGATCTGAACAACTGGGAACCAGATACACCAAAGTGAAAGCAAGGAGCATTTCAAAGCGAGACAGATTACTTAGTGGATTCGAAGTGAAGGAAAAGGGAACTATACGAATCCGGGATACTTCTTAAATTTTTGTTTGGGCAATTTGGTGGATGCTGGCACTTGTCTTTTGAGATAGGTAAGATGACATACAAAATAGAGACTAGGGTGGGAAGAAATAAAGAGTTTCATTGGGGACTAGTTCAGTTTGAGATGCCTATCAGACTTCCAAGTGGAAATGCTGTATATGAGCCACATATTCCAGGAAAAGGTTATGGCCAGAAGTTCAGATTGGAGAGTCATTATCATATAAATAGTGTTTAAATTCAGTGGACTGAATGAGATCAGCTGTGGAGAAAGTGTAAATTGAAAACAGAAGAGATCCCAGGAAGCAGCCTATGGCATGGCATAATGAGGTATGATGCTACTTTTCCATTACATACAATTATTTTAAAGTATTTGTATACATGTATGTTTCTGTAGACAGAGAATACCTCGGAAAAGATACATAAGAGACTGATAACAATATTTGTCTCCAGGGAAACAGTTGTGAACAGGGACAGGCAGGAGAATGAGTATTACTTTTCATTACGTACTCTTTCCTATGATTTGAATTTTGCCACATGGAGTTGAAGACAAAAGGAGGACTCAACAAAGGGGACATAAGAGAACATAAATTATTTCAAGGGTAGAAGCACAGTCTTAGTCTTACTCATTTTAGTAAGCACCCAACGCAGCGCCTGACCTAATACAGGGCTCCAACACAGACAGCTTGGACTGAACCATCCAATAATTGAGGCCAGAAATTTCCACTTTCCTGAGAACTCTAATTGCTCACTTTGGCTGTTACTCTCCATTGACTTTGTCAGTGTCAACCAAATGGCTACAGAAAGAATTAAGCTGATGCCTGATGTTGACATTAAATGACGTCAACATTTGTCGTTAAGCATGTTGAACACTGGGGAGTCAGTCTCTTGGTGCCTCATTTTAAAAGAGTTTTCCACCATATATTTACCTAGTTCCAATCAAAGTCATAAGACTGGTACTGGTAAAAATTTGGGAATAAATATAGTGTATGATTCCAGCCATCAAATG